TTTATCAATGATAAGAAGCCGAAAAAATTTCAATATAAAAAATGCTGGAAGATTTCATAAAATTCGCGAAAAAAAAAGGTTAAAAGTTTTTAAAATTAACAAAGTTCAACAAATGCAACCAAAAAACATTAATAAGGTTAAAACAATTTAGCGAGCTATTTTTGCTGATACCATAAGAGAACTCAACAGAAATTTTCCTCGAACCATGATAACCACGTACGAAGATAATGAATCATCTAGCATATATCACTGTAAACTTAATACACAACTTGGTCTCATCTTTATAACCACAGGAACCTAACAAACCAAGAATGGTGCGCCCTATTAGAAAAAAAAGCAACCATTGATGGGGAAATTTTTAGCGCACCTAAAATTCCTCAACAATTCCTCAACAAAAAACACCTTCCATCCGCCTATATTTAGGAAAAAACGAAGGGCCAAAAGCAAAGAAGAAAGGAATCAAAAATTTATAAGAAATTGAATAAAAAAAAACTACAAAATAAATTCTAAAAAAATAAATTCTAAACAGCAATGAAATGCATTAAAAATTATTTTTATTATTTTTCTGACAAAAACTTTTTAGTAAAAAAAAGAAAAAAAAAACGGAAATAACACAGAAAGAAGGATGGCAAATCACTTAAGAATGGGATTAAACGTCAAAAAAAAAATGAACTTTTAAATATTAAATATTTTATTGAATAAAAACAAATATTTTAAAACATCAGATATATTAAAATAATTTATTGCATATATAAACGACGCAAAATACGAAAAATTTTGCAATATAAATTTGCAATTAAAATAAAGTAAAAAGAATTAAAAATATATGCCAATGCATAAATTTTTAGAATAATTAATAATACAAATGTGTATTTAAATATATATAATAACCAAAAAAGCTTGAATAAAGAAAGAAATAAGGAATAACGGAATAAAATGCGATAATTCCCAAAAAGAGAACCAAAAAATCCCCTGCCGAATACCATTGTTAAAAGAATAATGAAAGGTCTTAGAGGTTACCTCAGGCCCACGGGGTCACAAAGGTCAACCGCCGAAACAAAAACAGTTCCCTCTTCAGTTTCATCAACAACAAATACCTTGTGTTTTTGAAAATTCGCTTTATTGACGCCAGCTTTATTTTTTCCGAGAAACTGCGGCTCTCGTCTGATTATTTACGGCCTATTGAAGTATGCGGCCCTTGTTTTTTGGCTCGAAGCAACAATGATAAATAAATAAACTAATATTATTTAGTGAAGAGAATGGTTAATATCTGAGGGAAAATACATTACAAAATACGTTACAAAACTGTGAAACCTTGAAAACTCTTTGATATCTTTGGAAAACTGAAAATCGAATTTTGTGAAAAATTCAGAATGGAGTTTTATTACTTTACCAAAGTCCACTGATAAAACTAACTAACTGATAGTCCACTGATAAAAAACACGTAGCGTTCCGCCAAATGCGTTGTATTGTGGCTGTAGTTTCGGGTAACATTGGTCTATTGGTACTGAGAATAAATACAAATAGGTATTGGGGAGAACGCGGATCGGCTAAAGGGAGAAAAAAAGTGTAAGAACAATGAGAGTTCAACGAATATGAAAATAACAATCGAAGAATTCCAATGGAACATTTGAGGGGCTTAAACGGGTTCAAAATCGATTCACTAGAACGGATCAAAATAAAATAAAACGTTTTATCCTACATTTGCACCAAATTTGCACCAAATTTCACTATATAAAACCATTTGAAATCGGATTTTTAATAAAATTTCAATTTATGGAACTATTTTTATCACTTTTAAATAGACGAATATTAATATTTATAAAAAAATAATTTGAATAAATTGTAATCGCTTTACTGAAAAAAAATTGTAGAAATTCAATACAAATTTTGTTAAAATTTACACCATTAAAAATTTTGTTATAAAATTAAAATTAGCAAATTTGAATGAAAAAATAATTTTCTAATTAATTCGCTATTTGCGAAGTATTTTGGCTTCGACGGCGCTGTTTTTTATGTAAACTTCCGGTCGTTTATAAATTAAATTTTCGCGCAAAAATCCATTCTTTAGCGGAATATACACCTTTATTACAAAAATCAGACGTAGCAGTGTATTTATTTTTAAATATTACAATTGAACAGAATAGGTTAACTTTTGCTGCTTAGACGATTTCCTCGACCATTTGTCGTGTGCCTTCATCTGATATTAACACCAAACTGAGAATGCAAATTGTTGCAGTCTGACCGTTTGCACTCGTTTGTGCTGGACCCGCGGGGCTTTTATTTCCTTCATTAAGTCATCCTACAACATTAGAAGTTTTTTCTTTCGTACCACGTTAGGTTCCTCTCTTCCTGTCCAACTTTCTCTTTGCTTTATGGATAGCTTTACCATATTTGAATCCATTGTACTGATTCGCTATTTGTCATACCGCTAAGAGTGGTACTATAAGCTGATGAAAACTGCCTTATTAAGCAGTTCTTTAATTGTTCTTTGACTTATCGACCGTGCATATGCATTCGTTATCATTCTCGTCAATGCTATTAGGTAGGTCGTCGAACTAGTTCTTTAATATTCTTCACCTCAAACTCAAATCTCATACCTTTTTTCTTAAAAATCTCCTGCTTTTGGTGGAACTGCCTTAATACTTTTCCTAATTTTAACAGTATCATTACTGAAACAAAATTTAGTGACATTAATGATAAGTTGATTAACGCGGTGTTATTCTTATTCTTACTATTTCCTTTCGTATCCGGTTTTATTTCGCTTAACTCCTTTTTTTGGCTTGTAGTATGCAAATGGCTCAGTGGGTTGTTTCTCCATTCGAAGTGCCGATACTAAGGTTCAATTCCCTGCAGGAGTAAACCTATCCAAAAATCCGCGTGATGCTGGCGACTCACCTGTATTCCTATCGCCAAGGGATTTCCTGGCACATTTGTTCAATGTAACAAGCGGAGTTTAACCAGTAATAATGAATCTTAAAAAATATATATAGGTGAGTTGCCAGTATCACCCGATCATCCGAATTTACTCCAACAAGGTATAGGGTTGTCTCTTCGTCTTTGCTATGTTTAGCTTTGTATAAATATTGGATCTTTTCGAAAATTCCGTCGATTTTTATTGTGTTTGCCTTTGGGATTACATATTTTTGTCGTTATGTCATGTTAGATGACGTTCATATGCTCGTTAGATGACGTTCATATGTAGTTTCTTTTCATTTCAGATTAATAGATTCATTAAATTTTTTTTGATTTAATTTATCAGATTCGTCATCATTTTCAGACTTCTGGCATTTTATGAGTTTAAACTGGAGCATTGAGTGACAGCGACAGTTTGTATGCAATATGCAGGCAATACTTCGAAGAAAATGGGAGTACAAAAAAATAGTGGAAAAATGGACCGGAAATGTAAGTCTTGAAGAAGACTCCACTATGCTTTCAAATTATTTCTATAAATGAATTTCTGGAGAAAATGTTGAAAGCTGATTGAAAGTCAAAAGGAATTGTACCGATTTAATATACGATTTAAATGAAATGACGGTCTCGAAATTCATGAACCATTTTCTGGAATGAATTTCCAAAAGACAACACGACAAGAGGAAAAAGTCGGCACAATGGTTGGACACTTGAATTTCCTCGGTCCGTGCTAATCTTTACCTGAAGAAGAGTATGGTTACCACTGTCTGCTGTAACACTGGTCCATTGGTGCTTTATTACAACTTGATGCAGCGGTTATGTAAAATATAAAATATAGAACTGAATACTCCATCGAGAGATTATTAATATAGCAATGAACGCTGGTCAACAGAAAATCTCATTGCGTGACAATGTCAAATCATGCATTGTTTGAATTTTTTTATCATTGAAATATTTTTTTATCATTTTTTTATCTATTTTGCAGAAATTTCCCAGAGTTGAATATCGAAATCCTTCCACATCGATCATACTTCTTAAACCTTTCGACAGCCTTACCAACAATCTTTCACTTCAGCTCTCCCGACAACTTCCTCAGCGCGAAATACTTTCGAAAACAATTAGGCCTTTAAATTACCTTCCAGATGTTGAGTGGTTCCAGAGCCTCAGATATGCAAATAGAATGGTTTCATACTTTTTATTTATAACCACAAAAACGTTCATTGTAATGGTGCTTTAAAAATGTTATGGCCTTACAAAATAAAACAACACAAAATCGGCTGAATTTTTTAAAAAACCCATTAAAATAGAACTCAGATTCTAATATTCATGGTATTTTTGATGTCTAATCTTTATTCCACTTCATCTCTTGAGGCCTCTTGAGGTGGCATCTCTTAAATTGCCATTTTCCGAACTTTTAAACTATGGCTGCAATCCTTTTCTTCACCAAATCTGCAATCTGCAATCAGTTGTTACGCATCAATCCAATTCTAATTATTCGACAGGTAATTTCCTCTTATAATGGATTTAACCGGCCAATTTCGCAATTTATTGTAATTCAGTGCAGTATAATTTCAGGATACCTCTCTCTTTCTACTCGGAAATATTTCAACTATTGTGTTAAGTGAGTTTAAATTTAAGATTGAAAATGCTTTATTTAATTTCAAAGTTTTAATAAGTTTACATAACTAAATGAGTGGAACTCGTCATTGTTGATTAGGCTCGTTCCATTGGCTGTTTGTGAAATAAAAGATTTTATCAGGGAATCATTTGCAGAATAAGAGTACAGGCAGATTTCAGCACCACTTTAACTTTTTTAGTGAAAAGTTTATTCCTGACCGGGTCCGCTCGAAATAATATTCTATTCTAAGCAATATTTATTCTGTTTCTATGCAGAAATAATGGCATAATAAGGCAAACGTGCATAATCTACTTTATTTACACCTTTTTCTCGGTGATTTATATTTATATATTAGAAAAAAATTTGGTCCAAATTTTCGTCGTTCATGTCGAGAATACGCATAATTTTAATTCATAACTTCAAATTTTATCATAGACATGGCGGGGATGACTGAGAAATTCATTACTTTTTATTCTGGAAGTGTGATGTGGTACTCAGTATCGCAAAATCCAGGTCCATATCCAGGTTGTGCTGGATAACCGCGTGATGCCATCCGGCATTGCATTTCGAAAAGTCTGCAAAACATTTTAATATCTTGTCAAAAATTTTATTTCCATTGCACTGTAAAACCACTCATTGTTATAAAAATTATATCGAAATTCCGATTGAGAAACATTTTTTACTAATTTTCAACGATTAATGATGCTTAAATATCTAATAAAGTAGCCACTTGGCAAATGCATCATTTCTGGTCAGGTAGGCTGCATTAGAGTAAGGTGGAAAGATACATACGGGTTATTAGCCACCGTGAGTTCTTCTAACAACTCTCACCATTACTGGCTAAGCTGGCTCGCTGACTACCTCTGCAAGCTACCCGGTCCAACCCATTATTTTTTCCATTGTCTAAGCCATCGAGATTTCACATTTAATTTCAATTTTCTAGTTCAATTCTATTAAAAGGCAATCCATGCTATTTGCTTTCAGCAGAAGCAATATACAAATTATATGATCACCTGTAATATATTGGCTATACTGATTAAAAGCACCAGACCATTTCTTTCAAAGACAGATTTACTTCTATAAGGAAGCCGAGCCTTTGCAGGCTGCCTTCAGCCAAAGTCCCTATAAAAACCCCGTAAAATCATGGTCACTTCATTAATGCTCTGCAATTTTTTCTTTTTGAAGGGAAAACTCTAACTGTGTAATGTAACAACATAATATAATCTCCTTTGTGTAGTTTGTGTAGTCCTAACGAGTATTTTTTCGTTGAAATTCCTGAATTTTTACCTCGGCCATGCTTCAGAAACAAATTGGGTGGACTTTGAAGGACTCCACAGACGCTCGGCAACAGCTGAAGCACGTGGCCATAGTCGAGCGACTACATTAGTTTCATCGACCCACTCGCCCCACAGTGCTGCTTCTCCACCTAATACAAGTTTTTTCTGCATTTCACTGGCATTAAATGCCTGCAAATATCGCTCATAATAAAGGTTATTATCATAAATTATCATAGGTAGAAATGTTTAATTTTTCTTTTGTAAAATGAAGTGAGAAAAGCTAAAGTATTAAATTTTTTCTTATAGCTGATAAACTATAAATTTTTTCTTATAGCTGATAAACAAAAAATTCAGAATAGTAATTTTTTTTAAACATAAGCGATGTTAGTTGAAAATTTTGCTAAAATTAGCTGATATCTAATTTAAAATTTACTTGCGGATCACACTGATAGAAAGAAAACCAGTCATAAAGGCTTTCGATACGATCCAAGTACCAACATGACGATAAGAGAACCGATATGCCTTTAGCTGTTATCTCATGCATATAAGCCATTATCTCAATATTACTCCTCCCCTTCCAGACTTGAATAATTGAGTCTGTTAATTGAGCCCCAGATTCGAATACTTCCTAAATTGAGTATTAATCTCATAAATTTAAACATTCTTCTCGACGTGTTCCAGCTTTTTTTGCAACCACAATAATACATTCATGGAGAAAATGTGAATATATCCTTGTTACCTGCCAATAAATGTATTTCTTCCTTCCAATACCATCCATCATCATCCTTAGCTTATTTAAATACCATCCTTGTAATTGAAGAGTGGTGTTCAGCTCATAAAGCTAAAAACAAAATTAGCGTAAAGTTCATAGTTCATCTCATCTTATTACTTTACTCATATACTTCATATAACTACGAAAAATTTTAGAATTTGTAATTCTTATAATTCTCAATCCAGGTTTATTGTGCTGGCTATTATGTAGCCAAAAATTTTAGCCAGTTAATAATTTTTATAGAGTAGAAATACAGATGAGTATCAGAATCACACCAATTTTTTAATAAAGGTTTTCTCTCGTTGAAAAAATAAAACCATTGATTCTTAGCACGATAATCTAAGCTATTTGGCTATCAATTCGGTTATCCTGCCTCCATATTAGAGTGGCTAGTAAAATTTACTGCCATAAAATCGCTAATATTTTTATTTTCCTTCCAGCATGGCCCAGACCAAAAATCAGCTTCATCACCGCCAATATGCATGAAATCGTCGGGAAAAACTTCGTAAACTTCCTAAAAAATAAATCATTCAAGATATTAAATCAAAAAATAAATAAATTTCTAAATCATTGAATGATATACTCCATTTAAAATAGTATCTGTTGAATTTGCATGTGGTTTTTTATATGTCGAAAAATTAAAAGTTCTATAAAATTGCTTTAAAATTTTTTTTTTTTTTGATGGGAAACCAACCTGAAATGCAAATCCAATCATTAAATTGCTTTCGAGTGCCTTAGATTATCCTTTTGATAGGTTTCGATTCCTACTTGAAATGGGTGTAGCTTTTGGTTGAAAAATATTCGGATGGTTCAGATGGTTCTAAGGACCCACCTAGTCAGTGACCCCCTGGTACAATGGTGCAAAAAATTTCTAGCCGCAATAACCTGCGTTGGCCATTTATAATGGTTTTTAATGAAAATAGTGAGGTTATTTTGGAAAAAATTGTCTGGTAAAACTACGATAAAATTAAATGAAAACTAATTTTATGCCAGAAAATTTTTTGACATAATTTTCCACTTCATAATGCATTTAATAATATTTGCTAATAGTAACCTGGAAAAGTGTTTCGAGGAAATCCCACGTCTCGTCCTTAGTTGGATCGAGAATACTACTCTTGAATGAATCGATAATAAATCCTTCTGCATAACATTTCGCCAAAATATTCGGATAACCTTTGCCCCACGATCCAACATGGGCTGGTGAATCGAACTCCGGAATAACTCTTATACCTCGTAAACGAGCATATGCTATAACATCCTGAATATTCTGTTTCTGTTAATTATAGTTTCAGTATTGGTTGCTATAATATTTAATGAGCTTTGGCAAGTTCAACCTCAAAAATTTGCTCAAAAAGTGAAAGGCGACCGTAATTTCCTCGATTGTATATTTATGTTTATCGTCATATGCTCCGTGATCCAATTTGGGCAGAACTCTCGAGGAATATGGGCAAGATTCAGTGTCGGTCATGTGCCAGTGAAATACATTAAATTTATTTTGTGCCATTAAATCGATATTCCCCTTCAGGGCATTTACGGACAGGAAGTGTCTGAAAATATAAAATACACTCATAGACTCGCCTTTTCGTCAGCTTAAAGTAATCCTTTACTGGAATTCACTATTTTTACAAAAAGGCCAACCTGGATGTGTCCAATAAAACACCGCGATGCGGAAATCGTGGGAAATCTTTGACAATCTCCGCACGAATTTGATAGCCACTCGTTTTATCACAATAAACCATATGCGAAAATGATTCCAATCCTCGAAGTGCGCCCCAAACCTTTAAAGTATTATTTCATGCATTTGTTTAACGTAAAACTGGCTAGATTTTATTTGTTTGAGGTGATAACGATTAAAATGATAATGCTTATAGCAGATAGTAGCATAAATCTTCAAAGTGAAAATTTCTCCAAAAATCTTCATTTCCAAAATTACTATATTTCAACAGCGAGTTTATAATCAGCGCAATTGGTGATTTGACAATAAAAACAATTGTATAATTATGCTACTCATTTAACTATCGCAAAATGTTGCAAAAATTTTTTTGAAACATCAGAAAAAACTTATCAAATCAATTAAACAAACTTCATTGGCTCTTAATATAGCCTCCTTCCATGTTACATCTAACTTATAACTTTCGTCCATATTACTTGTTGGAACGCCACTGGGACAAGCAATTTGTATTATGATTTTTAATGCAACAAGTTTGCTCTAAAGAATAGTTGGAAATGAAAAAAAAATTTTAGAGTTTAATTTTTCTTATCACTTCCAAAATATAAAATGTGCTTATCCACGAACGAATGAGAATTTTTTTACTGATTAATTGTACGAACATATGATTCTTTAAAATCATTTAAATAACATCGATAAGCACCATCATCCTCACTTTATCAAAAAATTATCATTTTGCTTCAATTTATTCACCTGTTCTTCCAATTCCTTATCCAAATCCATCACATAGCAATTGGTGAATGGTTTTTTTACTGCCGTATCCTTATTTTTACGAAATTTCAAGTTCGCATTTCAATAAAAAAAAAGGAAGCAAAATTCACCTGTTTAGACGATAAAGAACATTTTTCACGCATAGGGAAAAGCCTCTTAGTATACCGCTTGATAGCCTCAGTGATAATATCGCATTGATAATCAGATTCTATCTTGAAGCTTTCAGGATCTATCGACCAGGTTTTTGAGGAATTCTGAATCTCTTGAGGTAAAGGCCAAATGGCGCCATGTGTCTTCTTAGAAGGATCAGGCCATTGTGCGTGGACATCAATTAACAATAATAATACTAGAAAATATTGAGCAATGGGATTAAGCTTCATCTGAAGTACGACGGTTTCTTTAATTATTTATTAATTATTTTTTTAAAAAAACAGGATTAAAGCTGCACAATATTTGTGGGACGACTATCGTTGAAAAAGACAGCAGAACAAATAGCGATAGTTGTGCCCTTAAAAAAATATTCACTAACAAAATGCATCAAACAGTATAATTCATTATGGTAATTTTTTTTTTTTTTTTTTAAACTCTCACCATTTTTAATTTGGCTGGTTTCGCTGGCTTTTCAAACCAAGCAAATTTTACCAAGGAATCGCTCTTTAATAGAAGTAAAAATCAGTCGCCAGCACCATTTGGATTTTTGAAAGACAGGTTTGATTCTGCCCGCAGGTGAGTCTCGGCATAGGCGCACCGAAATATGATCTATAATAATCCCCTAAGCCATTACGTTATGGTGACGTTTTTCGGGCACTTTTTTTGCCATAGAACATTTTATAAATTACTTTACGAATTATACTTTACAATATGATTGAACGGAACAGGTTATTTAAGTTTAAACAAACGTTTATTTTTTCCCATGTATTTATTTATGCAAAATCAAATCGATGCATTCGCATCTAAAAATTATCAAAAATGATTGCGGATTTTAATGAGACCGATATTTCTAAGCCTTTAAATTTTTAATTTTAGGTTGCCTCATCAACTAAGCACCAAGCACCAAGCCTATTCCCTACATTTCATTTTTTATTGCATTATATTAAGAAAATCCTGTTTCAGAGAAAAACAAATTGTTGCAAAAATAATATTGTTTAATTTGAGATTTTCTCTTTTCTCTCTCAAAAAATTAGTCAAAAAATTATTTATTAGAAATTTCTTAAAATTTCTTTTTCCTTATATTTTTATTTTAAATTAACTAATCACTAATTGAATTCGTTAAGTTTTCAAATTCACTTGCGTTTAGTCAATGTAGGTTTAGTCATTTGGTTTTGGTGTAATTTTTTGGTTTTATTTTTTCGAACCAAAAAATTAACTTCGCATTAAAAGTTATTTCTAATAAAAAAATCATTTAAAATAGGTAAATATTTCAATTGTAAAAAATTAAGGAATATGCGACGATTATGAAAAAACTACTAGAAAGGCGAGCTTTTCACTATTCAAAAAACTATTAAAATTATTTTGTCATTAAACGATGGAATTTAGTATTTATATTGAAAATTGCCATATCTTTTCATTGCTACAATAATCTAATTCCACTGAGCTTCGAAAAAATATCTGACAAGCGCGCAAGTTTTATTAGCCATGATGAATTAGTCAGAGAGAAATTCAGCAAATTCTGCTTTAAACTACCTGAAGTGACCAAAACTAACAATAGCGACAAGTTCGAAAAGCCACTATCAGTTTTGCTCTACTGCTGGACTGAAGTGGATAAAGATGTTAGTTATTTTTACCACTTCCCCTTAAAGCAATTTTTTTGCGGATAGGACGGCTCAGTGAGTTGTTGCTCAATTCGGGGTGTTGATGCTGAGGTTCTACTACCTGCCAGGAGGAAATCCGAGTGATACTGGCGACTCACCTCTATCGTCAAAAGATCTCCTGGCATATTGCCCAATGTGACAAACCAGTGGAGCGAGTTTGACCAGTAATAGTGAGGACTCTTAAAAAAAAAAAAAACTATTGAGCACGGCATGTGCAATCATTATTATATTTGATAGCTATACTGCATATATTTTCGCTCGACATGCACGAAGCATTCAGGATCTTTAGCGTAATATACGAGTGGTACCAAGCAGCATCTCTGCAATAATGTGAGCTTCTGCATTTAAGTGCAATTCGATAACTTACAGATAAGATGTTTCTGTTATATTTTCATTCTAAATTTAAAAGTTTCCAGTGAATTTTGACATTTTTTAGAAAAAAATTTATTAAAATTTTTCTTTTTATTGGTATTCCGTATAATTGGTTTCAAACGGCCTTCGAAATTTACAAGGGTCCATACGAAATATTTGCCAGTATTTTATTATGCTAAGTATTAGGGACCGTCTTTGTTTCCAATACATATGGACACAAAATTTAAAAAATTGTTGTCATCATATGTTTTTCACTTTCGTCTATTTTTAACTGAATTATTTTCGCCTTAGGTTCATGATTTTACAATTTTGCATTTTAATTTGACATTTGCAATCTGTTTTCCCCATCCATGACCAACCAACTAACGACCAACTCGTTTTCGTCACCTGTAGATAGATCGTCGAAAGGAACTTTTTATCTCTCGCTATTCCTTTTTTCTATAAATCCATTGTAAAATTTTGAAATTATTTAAAGAAATTTACGATTACATATATTTATATGCCCTACATGAATCTATGAACATTGGCTCTATACCAAGTCGATAACGATCCTGAAGACCATCGTCGAGAACTCAATAGGACTGTTGAATATAATCCAGAGAGCTTGCACAAGTGGTTAAGTGATGCGGTCTATATCAAAGCGATAAATTCTCTACGCTAGACAATCACAAGAAGTGCATACTGATACATTCAAGAGCAGAACTATCATCAACCATGCTCTTTGCATGGATCAAGTTATATACCAAAATCGAATGAGATACTGAACTGAGATTTCGTATGTACACGAATATAAGCGACGACACTGGGATGTTATTCGAAATGGAAAAATATTGCCGGAAGGTATTAAAGAGAAGGAAAATAATAAAGAGTAATGGGGTGGCTACCGGCCAAGCAGTCACTTCAGTATCTCATACCTATGAATATCTTGGTATCCCACAGTGACGTGAAAATAAGTAAGAAAGATTGCGGTATGTCCATACCATAAATATTTACGTCCTGTCATCTGGCACGCAGCTGGCATTGTAAAATAGAGAAAGGAAGACATGGAGAGACTAATGTAAGGACCAGGAAACTCCTCATAATGCACGAAAATTTCCACGTGAAGTCCAATACGGAAAGGCTGTACACCAGCCAGCGAAAAACATCTAAGAAAGGCCAAGGAGAAATGAAAAAACAAGACCATCCATAGGATATACCATCGATAAACAGTATTAATGAATTCGACATTCTACTAGTGGTTGAAAAAAGTTAGACTAGAAGGTATTGAATCCATTTTTTTTACTAAACCGTTTTTTTATAAGCTAATTAGAGTTATATAGAATTTACGGTTCTTTTAACAGCGTTTATCTCTTGTTTGACTGGCTCCTTGAACTACAGCAGTGAAGCATATGTGGCTTAGAACCTCCCAGGACCAGATGGAAGAATCATCTGAAAATCGTGGAAGATAATAAGGTCAGGATGAGGCTTGTGCGACTTCTTGATCCAAATAAACAAGCAAGAACATTAGGAAAAAGGATTACGAGAAATATGGAAATACAAGAAGCTGAAAGAAGATCTAGAGATGTAAAAAGTGAAGGCCAAAATAGTCTTAGTAATATTATCAGTACTAGGGGCTACGATTGAGCCCTAAACTGGAAAAGGGGTTCTAGTGTTCAGAAATTTTTTTCAGATATCAGATATTTTGTCCAGAAAAGCGCATCATTAATGAAGATAATGCGCAGAACTTTCAAGATCCCAAGCCTCTGGTAAAAGATCCGAAGTTGAGAATGACCCATGCCACTCACAAATGATGAAAAGGAATATTATAATGAATATACGAATTATCTTCAAGGATGGATAGACCGCATATTTATAGAATTATATA